ATTTCGATCCGTTGAGACAAAGTTGGAAGTGCTTCGCACACGCGGTGGTGCTATTCCTTGTAAACGTTTTTATTTTGGGAGCATCTGTAGTGGCGCTGTTAACCTTAAGGCCTTTTCTTTCGCGCGTTTAGTGCGGAAGACCAAAGGTTCCAAATGTTTCCCCATTCGTGAAAATCCCCTCCATCTGGTCATAAAAACTATTTTGCCTTCCTTTTTCGCCTTAGGTGGAAGTGCTAATTGGGAAGAAGAGGAGACAAAATAGGGGGAGTGTTCTCTAATGGACTTTCCCCCCTTGCTGTCCATCACGTATTTATCACTCCACAAAACTGAAAGGAGCAATTTCCGCACCGTGCGGCTGCTCGGCTGCCTTTTTACAAAAATGCGTCAAAAGAGTGATAAATAAGAAAATTGAAAATAGCTTAATGGGAGTCAAAAAAAAAAAAAAAGAAGAAAGCAGAGATAAAAGGGCACAAACTAGCGTCCAAAGCGAACAACACAGAGTAGCAAAGAAAAAAAAAAACTAAACATTTGTAAAAACAAAAAAGAAGCTTAATAAGGGTTAACGTGGCAATTCAAAAAACGATGCCATGTTTTTATGGAGATTAAACTACATGCACATAAATTGGGACGATATGTAGAGCTTAATTGGGAGGATAAATTTTACACACTTTTATTTTTAAACAAATGGAAACGTGTGATAGGGGTTGGGGACTTAAAAAGAAAAAAAAAACTGCAAAAAGAGAGTGCACGTTTGACCAGGTTAGGAAGGAAAAGGAAAAAGATAGAGAAGGTTTGGAATATTGCTTCTATAAGAGTTGATACGTCTACATAGATGCATGGGGTGGGTGTGTGTTTTTTTTTGTCCTATTTTTGTTTTTCCTTTTTTTCTGCTTCTTCTCCTTCTCCCTTTTTCATTTTTCCCGGAAAGTGGTGGGTGGGCCCCAATCCGCCCACACTCACATGGTTTCTTTGACCGGCACGAGCCACAAGAGGGGGGCGTAGATTATCAAAGATATCAAATAAAAAAAGGCTGAACGGAGGGGCGGAAGTACACGATAATGTTGTGATGAGGACTGCAAGTGGGTGGAACAATTTAGAAGGGGGAGCACACTAGCCCGTTCACACAGCAATGCTGTCTATTAAAAGGAGAGGGGAAAATAGCGTCACTTACTTGTTATTTTAAACGTGTTTCTGTATGACGATATGTCGGAGAGCCATCCGCCTGGGACGAAGAAAAGTGAAAGTGGTCAATCCGTCAAGCGGTGGATGGGAGGAAACCGTAATGGGGAAAAAATGAATGATAAAAAAATAACGGGAAAAAATAAACAAGAAAAAATAAACGAGAAAAAATAAAGGAGAAAAAATAAACGAGAAAAAATAAATGAAAAGAAGTAATAAAAAAGAGAGCTGCATGCTCCGATTAACCCCCTCCTCCGATTCTTACCAAAGTATGCGCTGATGGACCACACGACGTAGTACAAGCTTTGCACACCCATCCATCGACCTGCACATTTGAAAAAGGGGAAACATCTTATGTAGGCACGCATATCATGTGCGAGTTTATTACCCATGTGTAGAATGTGCAAGTCGGTTTCGTGCACCGCAACCTACACAATGAACTTAATTTTTCGCGCCTCTACATGCGGACAGCTTCCCTCCCAAGTGCATACCTGTGTATCGGTTGGTGTCGATGAAGTCATAGAGAATACTTTTATCTATAGAGTTGGTGCAATTCTGAAAGACGCTCCTACGGAATGGAGAGGTGAATAAAAAAAAAAGAAAGTCGTTTGTGTGTAAGGGGTTATATTAAGATAATTCGCTACGCTTCCAAATGGTGAATTTTGTCTAAATGGTGGGTACCTAAAAACGTGGACCTTCAGAACGTCCTGGTAATTGTGTATGTAGAGAAGAGAACAGAGGAGCCTGCACAGGGGGGAGCGGTATCACATAGGGCAGGAATGACGAAATATATTTGGGTGCACGCATATATGTGTGGAGTCCGTGGGGCTCACAGGAGAAGCAGGAAAAAGGTGGCCTATTCGTTAGTGCCATTTTTAAACTATTACAAGAAGCCAATGGTCGTGAAGAAGAGGGAAACCTGGGCCCGACCCAGCGACTTTGACAGCTTTTGTGAAACTGAGGGGAAAAAAAATAAATATACATATGAATAGAAATATAAATATGTACACATTTGTGTAAATGTACGCCCACGCGTTGGCGAATGGATGGCGTGCCCCCACGAAGGCGCCTGTCCTGCCCGTGGGGGTCCTTTTCCTTCTCAAATTTTACTGTAGGTGAAAAAGGTGAGGAGGACTGGAATGACAATGTTGAGGACGCACATCAGCATGGGCGACACTTTATATTCGGACTTGAGAAACAGGGAGAAGTATTTAAACGTCATGCCTGCGGGGGGATGCAATATGAGGGGGGATAATAGTATTGCTGCGTGCACGAGTCAGCTAGGCGGACCATGTGGAGAGCCTCCTAATCAGTCGTGTAAGCGCTAACCGAGACGCTTACTCCCCCCCCCAATGGAGAAGAAAAGTCCTACCTGCCCCAGCTAGGGTAATAATGTGAGAAACGAAAACAATGTACGGTATATGACTTGTGGAGAGGCAAAAAACACGCTTCTTATCGTTTTTTTTGGAGATGAGTTCCGTCTCCTCGAGGCTCTTAACCGGGTCGATAGGATTGTTCTGCCAGAGGAAACTGATCAGCGTCTGTGGCAGGATTGTTAATATAGAAAACTGGAAAATAACAAAAATGTTTTTGATGTTCCACTTGTCATTATACACATAGAATAGGATGAGACAAAAAAAAGGTCCTAGCATGGTGGCCATTGTGCTTATGAGTTTCTGGTAGGTAAAGATGATGCTCTTCTTGCCTTTGGGGCGGGTGTATAAATAGGGGTGCATGGGTATGAGTGTATAAGTAGGGGTGCATAGGTATGGGTGTATAAGTACAAGGGTATAAGTACAGGTTTATCAGTACAGGTGTATAAGGAGGGGTGGATACGTAACGGTGCACAGGCGCAGCACGCGCGCGGCTCAGGAGGAGGGACTCACCTCGGTCTATGCTCTCTATAAAGATCGATTCCGTAATCACGTGGGAACACTCGTGCAGCATCTTCGTTACAGCAGTGACGAATATGATGAGGCCCAAACTGTTGGTGCGTATGAACATGTAGTGAATGATATTCACCAGAAGGTAGGACACAGATATAGCCTGCAACATTTTCTTCCTGTCTTTTTTATGCTTGTCGCAGTAGTACCCAACCAAGGGGGTAATGATTAAACATACTGAAGAATTAATAATGGAAAACAAACCGATGACTTTGTTCTTCCTAAACTTCAAATAAATGTAGTGGTCATGGAGAAAGGTGTTTCTCATGGAGTAGTTTATTCTGTCAAAGAACTGATGAATGAACATCAGAATGATATTTATGTGCCATCTTCTTTTCCCTTTCCATTTTTTCATTTTTTCTTCATCATTTAGTTGAGCGATGTGTGTGCGGGGGTGGGGTGTTGCTTGGGCGTGGCGACGCGCGATAAGTGGTGGAGAGGGTTGTGGTGGGGTGCCCTACTGTACTGGGGAAAGTATAACCCAACGTGGCGAAGATGCTGAACTTTGGTCTCTTCTCCCGAGGAAGTGGTTACATGCCAGATGATTTGAACGCGGGCTAATTGACGTACACACGGAAGGGGGTGGTCATCACGTCTTTAATTAACTGTGCCGATTTGTAGGCAGAAAGATGCGCACATGGATTAGCTTCACGGGGTGGTTGACTCGGCGCGCGCAAAGATGGACAGGCAGTTCTGTTTAGACGGTCTGCGAGGGGGGAAGGGCACAAGAACGGCGGTTAACACACAACACATGGAATGGGGTGTAAAAGGTGGGCAGCCAAACAAGGACACCATAAGGGGGCCCTCCTCGTGTGCACCTTCACTTGTAGTAGCGTTTGAGTGCAATCACAGATAGGCAAAATATTTCCTATGACGGGAATTCCTCGGTGTGGCCCCCTCGCATAGACAGGTAATTATCAAAACGGGTAACTTACCATCTTCCTTCGACTTGAGAGGCACCAAACAGAAGAGTAAGCAATTTTGCTTGTCGCTCATTTACAAGCATGTAGGCATAACGTACACGGGGGGGGAAAGAAAAAAAAGAAAAATATATATATATATGGAGCGGCTATAGTTGTACGTTTGCTCACGCATGATGTACGTGTTCTCTCTTGAGAGAGAACCTCCTGGCGGTGAAGGTATTAGGTGGGTGATGATGATGAAACGGTGAGATGATGCATGGGGGGGAGCAGAAAGTTTGAGATTCAAAACGCCTGTGTTCTATATACTTAAAACGGGAAGAAAAAAAGAAAAAAAAATCCAATTGAGGATAGATAGCCAGCGGAAGGAAAAAAAACGTACCAACTCTTTAAGCATTTGTAAAAGTTTCACGTGTTAAAAAATTTGCCTCTGAACGCCCGCGGACGGTGGGACTGAAGCGAAACCCTCTTATGCAGGAAAAGGGGGGGCGAGGAAGAGGCGTAACAATGAGAAAAAAATCTCGGGGAATTAACGAGGGGTACGTGGCGCAGGGCAAACGAGTGGGCGACGATAATTTACCGTTTCAAGATACGCGGAGGGATATTCAGACGGATTGGGCATTACATAGAGGGTATTACGTGGAAAGCATTACATAAAGAACACTTTTTTTTCAGTCCATTTTTAACCGCTCACTGTTTTATACATCCAAGTGAGATAAAACCTGCGTGAAACGTTCACTTTCTCTGTTGGGGCTGAAGCAGTATAGGGTAAAAAATGGCGTTTTCGGTGTTGGTTCTTCTTTCCTCACGAGATGAGCCCACTTTTTGCCAGCAGCAGTTTACCTAATGGGCATATGCATACAGAGGTGTACGCTTATTTACGCCTTGGTGAAAGCATGAACCTACGTGAGTAGGGAAGATGGCCCCCCAGTTTTTTCCTCATTTTTAACCCTCAAGCATGTTCTCCCTGTTTCGCATAGAGGACGTGATAAAGATTGAGCCTCATTTTATGGAGGAGGAGTTAAAGAATGTGATTGAATTTTTGATAAGGGCCAAGTATGTCGACAAGGTACCATCGTGAGCTGCGGCAAAATCCGTTGTGAACGCGGCAATGAACGGGCAGTAAAGGAGCAGAGTGTATGGGGGAGGGAAGAAAAAAAAAGAAAAACGTGAAACTTTCTTCCTCTTCCTGTATCGGTCAGCCAAGTTATTTAGCACATTCTTCAAGCGAAGGGGTAAACCCATTTCAGTGTGAGCCATTTAAAGGAACCTGACATCTAAAACAATTCTCTTTCTTCCTTTTTAAGGTGCTGCAAAATGTGGGTCTGTGTGTTGGCCTGTACGACATATTGGAGGTGAAGAACAGGGAGATTCTAAAAGGCACAGGGGAAATTCGATTTGACGTAATTTTCAGGCTGGTATATTTCCAGCCGTTTGAAAATGAAATTATTGAGGGCTTCGTTAAAAACTCCGATTCGAATGGAATCATAAGTAGGACACACAGCCACAGAGCAGGGTGCACGCGTAGAATCAGTTATATGTTTTTTATGTGTGCATGTGTAGCGCCCCACACATGATAAATTTCCCCCGCCCCCATGGCTGCAGTACCTACCGAAGGGGGACACACTCCAAATGGTGATACAACACGGCAAACATGGTACTCCTCCCATTCGTTTGCAGTCAGCATAGGCTTCTTCGAGAACATCCGGGTGAACTGTGCCAATTTGAGGGAGCCCAAGGAGTTGTACGACGAGAGCTACGAAAGCGACGAGAGTGATAAAAAAGAAAAATGCCTTCTTTTTGATGCGGATAAAAATGAACGACTTGGGAGCGGCAACAGTGGGAATAACCTTCCTGTGAATGACCACACCTTTTTTTTTTTTATTTTTCTTATTTTTTTGCTCATTTTTTCGTTTTCCCCTAGTGATATCGAGAAGAAAGAGTGGTTCTGGACATACGAGGGGATAAAATTTTTTTACACAAAAGATGAGTTGATCAGGGTGCGGGTGCTGGACACCTATTTTAGCGGTAGGCAAGGGGGAGAAAATAAAGAAAAACAAAAAAAAAGAAAAAAAAATACTTGACGTATGTGCATGTAAATGTGTGTACTACATGAGATCGAAAATGCGGCGACACACGGATAAATGAACGTGCACTTTATGCAGACCCCAACGAGATGCGGAAGGATCAGACGACGCCATCGATGTCCATAACGGTAAGATAGGGCAGCCGAATGGAGGCGCGGCTATACCGTTATTTCCCACGTCGCGTTGTTATTGGGGGAGTTCTTCTTATCCTCCTTCTCCGCGCGCGTTCTATCTCCTCACCCGTTCGTGTGTAATCCTCTTTTGAAGGGTACCGTGCAGCAGGACGGGTTAGGCCTGGTCAAATGGTGGAACTAGTGTGACCCGGTATGGATGTTTTATACTAACCGTGGGAAGAAGCAGTCTGTGTGTTTTTTACGGATATCCGTTTGGAGTATGACCCATTTGATCCAACACAAACGTAGCTCATTATTGAAGCTGACATGAAATGGACATCAATGCGCATGCAAGCGAGGGACGAAGTTGAGAGGGAAAAAATTGAAGCCAATGTGAACACTATGTGGACAGGGCACCTTTGAGATATTGCCCTTGCTTTTTTTTCTTTCTTTTTTTTTTTTTTTTAACATTTTAAGCAACCTGTTGGTGAAGGGGCCTCCTTTGAGTGAAGAGAAAGGAGCTTTGGAAATCCCCTACTTGTGAGTGTGTCTCCCTTAGTGTGACCCCGTTTGTTGGCTGTTCTTATATTTTCTTTTCTTTTTTTTTGTATGTCCTCCCCCATGATGGAAATTTCTGCGTACAGTTTAAGAACGAACGTGACTTGTTTAACATTTTCAAACCGGTTTGAAGTCCATTTGATGATTTACTTCTCTTCCTATGAGGAGTCCCTTTCAACACATCGTGAGACGGCATAAGGCGTTAAGCGTGTGGAGGGATGGCACCAACTAGGGGTGCGTATCATGCAGTGGTGATCACAATGTTACCGTCATATTTTCATCGCAATGTAGCGTAATATTTTTTAATCGATTTTGTGTGCATCATACGGTTCTATATCAAAAGTGACCATGTATGTTGGTACCTCCAAAATGATGTCATGTGGGATCAACAAAACGGAAGTTGCTCACACCACCATGTAGTGGCAAAGCAACGTTATTACGACAGGGTAGAAAAAAAAAAAAAAATAATAAAAAATTCCGAGCTGGAACAAAGACCACATGATATGTACATTTAAATTTTTCCTTTTTTTTTTTTTTTTTCTTTTTGGTCCATTTCATCACAAGGAGGGTGTGGTGTTCCCCTCAACTTGAGTGGTCCACCTCAGACAACTCACTCTCGTCCGATTCGATTTTGCCAGGTTGGTAAGTATGAATAAACGAGTGCTTCGATTTTATCCCATTTCCAATGTAGAAGTTAAAAAATTGCTTATTTGAGTAAACAGTAAAGGCGCCATAAAATATAAAATTGTATAGGACTATTACGTCGTAGTGGAGACTATGAGCTCCATAGTAGTGGCCAGGATTGAGGTGCTTCACTTTCCACGTGGGAGGAACTTGGTTTTCTTTTTGTGCATTAATGCCTCTTAGGATTTTTAAAGGGGGGTTATGTTTAATAATGTGTCTCATTTTGGCGTTACTTGCGTGTCCCCCATTTTTCCTGCGTCTATCTTTGGGGTAGCAGACATGTCCATTTGGCAGGAAGTTATGTTTGCAGTGAACCCAGTTTTCTAGGCGTGAAAGAGCATTTGCATCGAATTGGAACTTTTTATTTTCTATTAGGATATCATCCCCAGCATCGTGGTTGTCATGGTCAAGATCTCCGTTCGGTCTGTCTCCATCTCCCTCCTTCTCTTCTTCACCATTTTCATCACCTTCATTTTCATCTTTCGTTTCGCTAGAATCGTCACTTTTTTCGTTAGACGCATCGGAGTAATCCAGTTCATCTTCCTCTTCATCTCCCTCTTCATCTTGATCTTCATCGCTGTTTCGATTTTTCCCTCGCTTTTTTCCCTTCCCAACTGCCTGTTTTTTTTCTGCCCCTCTGGTAATGTAATACTTCCTAGGCGATATGTGCGTGTAGGACGATATGAGTGAAATGAGAGCTCTGAGATAGTGCTTTTCCTTTATGGCAATGTTTGGGAAGGCGGTTATTATTTTGTTCATATGTCCTGTCAGCATTTTATTCGTCTTACTAGCCATTTGAATGTACTCTGGAGTCGTAGGTTTTAGGAGAACCCATTCATCCGTTCCGTTCACGGACGCCCAGTAGACGTGTCTATTGACCCTCCTGTTGAAGGTGACAAAGTCTTCCTTCTTGTAGTTCAGATGGTGGTTTTCCGTTGATTTATTTTTCCCCTTCCGCTTTGTGGATTTTCTGTGGTTCTTATTTCGGTCCCTCTTCTGTTCGTCATTGTCGTTCTCTTCGTCGTCTTCTTCATCGTTCTCTTTGTCCTCCTCCTCGTCATCTTCCTCGTCGTCCTCTTCCTGTTTCCCCCCCTCTCCTGATGCGGGCCCTCCGCTGCTTGAGGACTCCTCTCCATTCGAGTCCTCCGAAGGTGCCGATTTTTTCCCTTTCCTATGAAAGAGGAAGCTGGAGTTTTCCTTTAGAAGCCCTTCCAAAATGTAGTAGTCGTTCTTTACGCCTTTGAGTATTCCCCAGAAATGTAGGGACACCAATTCATTTTTATATTTTTCGAGGACATCTTTCACGGATTTATTGATGAGCCAAACAGAATCGCTCCCTATGTGGTATCCTGCCCAGTTAATTAATTTGGCTTGCTCGTAAAAATTTTTTAAAAAAGGTAACTGGATACGTTTAGGCTGCACTCTCTGCTGGAGTGAGAATTTTATTTTGGCTAGCCAGTCCTTTTTGTTTTTTATATAGTTGTGCAGTATGTAGTTGTCTAAATTGACGTCCCTCAAGTTGGAATCTTTGGATGTTTTGCCCCTTGCGCGGTGGGATGAAGAGGCATATGATGCGGAAGACGAAGCCAAAACAGAGTCCCCCTTCTTACTTTCCTTTATATGACTAGAGATCATTTCAAAATGCTCATAAGACTTTTCTGGCTTCTCCACGATGATAAAATTTATCACGTCACATATGTGCTTGTACACGGATTGTCCATTTTCGTCTCGGCTTTTCAGGTAGTCCTTGGCGTTGTTAAGTGAGAGCATCAGGTTGTTCTTCATCCTGTCTGTAATGTTTGTGGAGTGCCGTTTGGGGTCAATGGAGTATAATTTTTTTTTAGGAGAAGTGTGCTGTGGATAGATGGGATGCAGTGTGTCCAGTTAAGGCCTCTCTATGCTTGGCTATGCTTGGGTTAACTTAGCCTCTTCAGTCATTTCAGCCTTTTCATCCTCTCCGGGGAGATCATCAGGGGAGTAGAGGAGGAAAAAACCCTCATATGAGACGCCCCACTATTCCTGATAGGCGTGTACGTCCAGATGAGCGTTATCAATCGGAAGATAAAACGACGAAACAGGAAATTAATTTGTCCCACATGACATTGTAGCGGAGAAGATCACTTTTGCTTGTCACTACGGAGTCCTCTAAAATGTCAATGCTACGTAGGGAAGTGCGTTCTGTGGTGTTAGGCGAATGGGTTTAATTTTTTTCTTAAGGGGGGAGACATGTAAAAGTTGGACCGGATGTGAAAAAAGAACGTTACTCTTTTAGAGGCAATTCTAATTCTCATTTGGTGCAGCAATGTCACTACGTGCCGTTACAATGTTGGCCGGGGATGGAAGCACATTTTGGAGATTCAGTGTGTGGAAGGGTGGAAAAGCGAAGCATCACTTTGTGCATCGTGTCCGCAGGCATCTAGGAGGGGTGTAATGCGAAGGTCCTCTTTGATCCCGTTTAGACGCAATGAAGAAGGGAGGCGATTCTGCAGTGTTTCAATTGGACTGATGGATGGATGAATCACATTGGTCTGTCCACCTTTCTCGACATGTGGAAGTGTCATTTGGGGTACGCTCCAAATTGGGAAGGGAGAAAAAAAAAAAAAAAAAAAAAAATGACGCCTCTTAAGACAGCTAGCAAAGGGTATAAAATGGCCTCATTTTTTCATCTTTTTTTTTTTTTTTCTTCATTTTTTCACCATTTCGAAAATGTGCACGGGGATACCCACCAACGGAGAGCACAATTTTTCAAATTTGTCCCCATCACTTCGTTGGTGACGGGTGGGGGAATGTAGATTGTACGCTGCGCGGACTTGTAAAGAGGGTAAAAAAAAAAACTTGTTAAGAAGTTATCTCCACAAGGAGCTCATTTATGCCACCAAAGTGTGTGAGAAGGATGCACATGTGCATACGGATGGTCTGAATGAGCTCCACATGGTTTAACTTCTTCACTGTACTGCTTTTCCGTTGGCACGATCGGCCATGTTAACATATGGGTGCAGTGATGTGTCCCCTTTTTGAGGGATTCTACGCTCACTGACCTGTACATGCCCCCGTGCCTATTGTTGGGAGCTCATTTAGAAGGCGTGCGTATGTTTCTTCTCCGTGCCCTTTTGGCCCCCTCCCCTGCAGCCGATATGCCCCCAAAGCTGCTTTTACTTAATCGAACTCGCATTTGAGTGGGCCAGGCGTATACCATCTTGATAGGGTGAGATAAAATGGATTTCCGAAACTGCGTGTCGAGCGACGACTATATGTTCGAAATAAAAAACAATGAGCAGCTCTTCGATGGGAGCAGAATGGTGAGCAATATCAAACCGCTATGGAGCTTCAAAGGACACGATAACTCCATTGAGGGGATCCATCTCGTGGGGGAAAAGGAGTTTGCAACGATTTCGCACGACTGTCTGGTCTCCGTGTGGTCATGGGAGGGTGAAAAAAAAAGCGGAACGAACGTAGTTGACGTAAAAAGTGCGACGAACATGAAGAACATTAAGCTGGATAACCCGATCCTATGTTCCAGCTATCATGAGAGGAAGGGGTACTTGTGTGCCGGAATGACAAACAGAGATGACAACATATCCATAATCGACATGGGCGAAAAGAAGGTTAAAGAAATAGTAGATAGCCAGTGTAATTCTATTTTTTGCATAAACTATTTTGATGAAAATAAAATGACATATGGAAGCAAGGAAGGATCCATTTGTTTAACAGATTTGAATAAAAAAAAAAATGTATACAGATATGAAGAGATAGGAGATTGCCTAAATTACTGCACTTGTAATGAGGAATATAAGGTACACATTTTTAGTTCCTACAAGGGGAACATGCTATTTTTTGATTTCAGACAAGCATTGCCTATTCATAAAAATAGCGATTTACACTCCAAATATTCGATCAATACGGTTTTCTCAGATGGGAGTTGCTTATACTCAGGAGCATCAGATTGTTTAATAAAAAAATTTGACTTACGTTTTCTTGATGAGAAGAAGCCGCTGGAAATATACGTTGGGCATACTTCACCTATTCGTTTTTTATCTTTCTCGAGAAAGTATGATAATCTCTTCTGCTCTTCATCAGATAATGGAAGTATAAAACTCTGGCAGACTGAGAAGAATGTGGATGGAATGAACAGATCAGGTATGTCTATAGCTTGCCCAGTTTCTACTCCTGGGGAGGGTGCAAGTTGTTCCTTTCTCCCCCCGCTTCCTGGAGACTTAACCACCAAAACGGCTACAGAAAGGAACAAAAATGGAGGAAAGAATTTCCTACAGTTGAATAAAAAAACGGTCAGAAGTAACCGATCCAGTTCTATCGTATCTCAGTGCAACTATAGAAAATCACCTGACTTGTTTAGAAAAGAAAATAGCAATAAGAATTATGAAAAATTGGGGAAGGTGGAACGGACTAGCATGCTTGACACGTATAGGAAAAGGACGTTGACTCCAAATGTGCAGAGCATCCATGACAAGAGAGTCCAAGTCATGTCCAGGAACGAGTTATTTAACATTATAAAGAGGAAGAGTGTCAATAGTAGGAAGGAGATCGCGCCTAATTTTGGGAGTAAAATTTATTTAGGGAACGCCAGGGAGGGAACTACTCAGGGAGAAGTCAAAGGCGCGAGGACCTCCACCAAGTTAAAACTATCACTAACATCCCAGCATTGTGCAAACACCTCTAAGCATAGTACCAGTTGTAAGAACTTCAAGGGGAAAAACAGAATTAGCATAAGCGTATCCAATGACTCCACCAAGGGAGGGGGCAACCAAGTGGGGTTGAAACCCAACCAGTTTGACATACCCTTCCTACTTTTTAATGAAAGCGAATTAGCCAGCTCTCAGGCCAAGAAAATTAAAATAAGGCACTCCACTCTGTCGATGTTGAACCATAGGAGCCGCGTTTCCGCGATGGTGTGGGTGGGTGACTTGGTTTTGTCTACTTCGTGGGACCAGACGGTGAAGTGTTGGGACGTTCGTGGGCACGCCCAGGAGTAGCGGTAGGGAAGCGGTGCAGCGTCGGAGTGGCGAGAGCCTAACTAAATGACCGCACCCCCCGTTGCAGTCCATTCAATTGCGGTTGCGCTCCATTTCGCTCTTCGGCGTTCACATTATGTGCTATGGTGTGGAAGCACCTGCGCATGGCTAAACTCTGTTGTCGACCGCTTCTTCCCCTGCTGCTGCTGCTACCGCATTTTCCCTAATTGTCAACTCATGTGATGGGTTTTTCACTCTCCACCTTGGAAGTGGACACATCCCTGTGGCACTCCCCTCTTTTGAATAGACGCCGACGAAGGAATGACCCGTTCGTTTGGCTTTCCTGTTTTGCTTCCCAGTCTGGCTTCCCAGTTTGGGCACTTTTCCTTTTCTTCATATTTTTCTCACCTCTTTTTTTTCGCGCAAAACAAAAATAGTTTTTCTTAAATTTTTTTTTTTTAAAACGCAAAAATGTTCTTACGAGGTGGTAAAAAAAAAAAAAAAGAAAAAGAGAAAGAAAAGAAAAGTTGGAGAAATCGATTAGAGGATGTGAAGGTGTGGTGTCGCAAAAGGGTTGCGAAGTTTTAGCGTGGGGGAGGAAACGCATCAGGCAAATGTGGAGGGAATTTTCTTTTCCCCTGTAGGTCTCCCCCATCTTTTCCTCTTCGAAGAGGTAAGATGGTTAATGAAAAGAAAAGCAAAGTTCCTGGGGGAGTGACAACTAAGTATATAGCTGTGTACGTATAGGTGGGAAGATAGGGACACTCTGTTGATGGGCACCTTTTTTTTTTCTCTCTCTCTTTTTTTGTGTGAAAACCCTACACCGCATGTTCCTTTTATAACTCGTCTTTTTCGTTCGCCTTGGGGTCCGAATCGTCCTGAATGAACTCAGGCAATGTTTGTCCCTTCAGCATGGTAAATTTAGCATCTCCTCCGGATATTTTTTCCAAAAGTTTTTCAACATTTTCTTTCGTGGCAACCAAATCTTCGTTCAGTTTTGCGTAACGAATTCGCTTGTACGGGTTGAAGACGACGACGGAGGGATACTTCTTCACTTCGAACAGGGCCCGGAAGTTGGTCTCCGTGGCGATGTCGATCCACATGTATCGGAAGTTGATTCCTCTGCGGGGGTGTAGAAGTGGAAGTTGTGCACTAGTTAGGCATGGTGTCTAGGTTAGACGCAGCAACGCGGGCAGAGACCGAAATGGGCCAGGCCAATCATAGTTCCGCTAACACGTTACGCATCCATAGGCGAGTGCGGTGCCCTGGACTTACCTTCCATCTATGTGTGGCTTGAACTTCTCCTTGAGCGAGAGGAGCATGTCGATTTCTGTTTTTTCTAACTTGTCCCCCTCTTTCAAATAAATGAGACAGAGTCCTTTGTCCGCTTTCTTAAAGCAAATGTCTCCGTGTGACATTTTGGTGAACTTAGGGACCAGTTCGAACTTCCAGGGTTTGTCTACGGTTTTATCTGGAGATATGTCGAAGCCTCCACCGAGAACAAATGTCTCTGAATGGACATTTAGCCAATCGAACATGCTAAGAAAGTTGGGCTTACCCTTATAAGTATCTACCAGTTTGCTCTTTTTTAAAATTAGTATAGTGGGGAAGGTTTTTATATTGTACTTCTGGACAAGGTCATTCAATTCGTTGTTAATGTAACAGAACATTAGCTTTCTGTTGAAGCTGTTACTTAGAGCATTGAGTACATAATTGGGTTTCTTCTTGTTACTGAAGATAAGGACCTTGGGCATATTTTCATGTTTGGAAAGGAAAACAGTAAAATCCTTTTCGTCTTTAATGACATCAATTTTGGATGGAATGAGGTAGGTGTATTTTTTTAAATTCACTTCATTCATTTCTTCACTGAATATAAATTTGGGCATTGGGTTTATAGGGTATATCAGCAAGTGGTGCTTATTTGTGCTTTTATAATCTGGGACGTAGAGGGACAATTCACTTTCACACAGGCCCGGATTTTCATCACAGTCAGCTATACACAGGGTGAAGATCCCTTTGAACTTGGCTGCGACATCGTTGTACTTTTTTATTACGTCTTTTATATTCTTGTTCGTTTTTTGAAAAAACAGAACGGAGAAAACCTTTTCGCTTCTAAATTTGTTAACTACTGTGTTGAAGTTGTGATTATTCACGATCTGTAAGTCGTGCTTTATGGACTCTAGGAGGGACACTGCCTTGCAGGTCTTGTATAGGAGTAGCACGAGAAGAAGCAGGATGGATACCTGCGCTGAGCCAAATGGGCGTTTCATTTTGTTCCTCAGGGGGGAGAGGGGATCTTTTACATTCAATCACTTTGCCTATTTTTTCGTTAGCGCTTCTGCGACTCGCCTTTGTGAAGGGGTCTGCTCCCGGTTCGTCTCTCAAGAAGGGGGGCTCTCTTTTTGCTGTATTGAATGTGTGTTCTGTATGTGCGCGACTTTAGAGGGTTGCCTAGAGTATGCAGTGAGTACCTGGCAGAGCCTACCCCGTAAACGGCATAGGCCCATACGCTACGTACTCCAGCAAGGGTTCCAGCACAAGCTCATGCTCAGGATGGTAACTCCCTCAAAGTGAGCAAATCAATCCTCTTTTTCACAGTGCTTCCTCGGAAGGCATCAAAAATATATTCATTCACATGCTGTGGAGAGCTTTACCATTAGGTGACAATCTTGGATATACATGGCATTCTTAGAAAAAAAAAAAAAAAAAAAAGAAAGCAATGTTATGGAGGAGTATACACGGAAAAATGCAGGGATATTACAAATATCATTTCTACGGGGGTATCACATACTTCACACTTGTGTACATTTCGAATTTTTCCTCTAGGGGGGGCAGAAAAAAAGGGAAAAAATAAGAGGAAGAAAAAAAAGGAAGCAACAAAAGGAAGAAACGAGGGGAAAAAACAAAGGGATGGAATCAAAATGGGGGGCGAAAGATTGTAAGGGCAAAAATAAAAAGAGAACTAAACTATTCATATAGCGAGGCACCCCTAGGAATAAACAAAAAAGCAATGCTCTTTTACGCCTCGGCCAAATGTGTATACTTAAGGAGAGCGGCAAAACGGGGCAACCGTAATGGGGGTGCTCATAATGACCGTGCTGTTAGGCGTATGGTTTATAAAGCTCCCTTCTGAAGTGCCTTTAGTAATGAGCCCTAGAAATACCCACCTAGGGACGCCCACTAGGGGCTCTCACTTTAGGAAGCCCCATATGGGGGAACTCGTTTCGGGGAACTCACCTTAATATAGCCCAGCGACCAGTTGCGATCGAAGACACTGCTTCGTGTTACTAGGGCGGAGCCTAGAAATTGCCCCTTCCCCTAAAACCGAGACTTCCCAACATTGTCGCCCTTTTTGTTCCTGCACGATAAGAGTGTGTTGCGTCCGCTCACTGGCTTTATTTCTGGTTCTCTCAGTTTCGGTTCGCCCGCTTTCGCCACGTTTGCGTCCTCTAGAAAGGGTTTTACATCCTGGCCGATTCGTCTCTCATCGCGTGGCGCGTTTTTCTTCTTTTTCCGCTAGGCTAAGGTAGCGCCTCAAACTTGGCAAAGAGGTGAGGCAAGCGGAACTAGAAGGGGGGCCCCCCCAATTTATGAGAAAAACAGCGCAACGAAGTGGCACAACGAAAAGGCACCCTGCTTTATACCATTGCTCCTATTTCCACATTACGGTTAAGCTAAATGATGTGGGGAAACGTTACGCCACTAGGTTGAGTGGCAAATGGAGTACCTACATTTTCACACGCAGGGAAGAAAGCACTCCAGGGTGAAAAAGTCGAGGGTGAGAAAAAGTAAAGGATATTTTTACTTCTGATTTTTTTTTCCTGGGTACACAATTAAACCTATCATTCGAACGAGCTTCCACTCCTTTTTTTTTTTTTTTTCTGTTAAGCGTGTAACGAGACTGAGCTTTGTTCCTTCCTGCTAGCAAATATGCGCAGGTAAACTTCAAGCGCTTGTTGCGTTAGACCATCTTGAGGGTCCACTATTGTGAAGACCTGTTTGATAAGACTGCATACGCGAAGCAAGGACATCCCCTCCAAATTAATACTGCTGCTTCCGGGGAATACACTCCTCTTGAACGTTATTGAGAAAACAGCTAGGAAGAAAAAACGCTGGATGTTACATTTTCCTTGGACATGCTAGCGCGCGTTTTTACGCCTAACAGACCGTCCACCCACCGTTTCCTGCTAACAGGTGGGGGGTTCGTACCACATTGTTCGTAGTGCCGAATGGAGGAAAACAGAAGAAGAAATCACTTCGGCGGAAATTCCTACGTGATGGCTACCTCCTTTTGATCTTCCTGCTGGCACATTTTCGTGAGCAACGTTGTTAAGGGAACATTACGAGGATGTGTCAAAACAGAGGTGTATCTGTCCCCCTCCCCTCCGCCAAATGTGCGCATAAATTTGTGCACGCGTAAACATATCCTAGCAGCGCTGGCTAACCGCTTCTTGACGATCCCTCCTGTCCTAATCTCCACGATGAAGGATAATGCGAACCAGGAAGGTCGCCCGGAGGAAGAAATTAGCAATGCCCCGAGGGAGACCAATTTGAAGAATTTCGAAAAGACCTTGTAAGTTTTGTATGTCGAGGGAATTGCGCTACGTTAACGTGTTGCACGTGAATGTGTTGCACGTGAATGATGTGTTCAGAGGGGTACACATGCCTTGTAGAGGGGAGACCATACCTCAGGGAACTCTTCCCCCCCACACACATAAAGTGTTGCTTCCTCAAATGAGTGGGACAGAAGCGTCACTCCTGAGTCACATACCCAACACTGCATAAATGGGTGTACTTCTCCAAATGTGGACAACCACATAGATATGCTCTCTTATTTTTGTACTATCCCCAATTGACAGCATCCACGACTGGCAGAAGGCACTAAGGCGCGTAGAAGAAGGAAGGAAATGTTGCGAACACCTGAGTAGAATCTTCCAGGAAATTATTTGCATCGAAAAGGAGTATGAACAGAACTTGAGAAAGTTGTGTAATTCATTCAAACAATTTAGTGACGAATCATCTGGGATTAAAAACGGAATAGAGAGTCTAAAAAAAAACATCGAAAGGAGATGTGAGCAGATAGCCGATTTTATTAACTGTGTCGAAAGTGAAATAATATATAGTACCCTCAACACTACGCTAATTAATCACAAAAATGTATATGACCAGATTAGAACAGATGGAATGGAAAGTGATAAAATGGTGGAGAGGACTAAAAGTGACACGGTAAAATATGTTGAAAATTGTGTAAGTGCCTACGAGAATTTAGTGGATTGTATTCACGTCTTTCACAATAGTACTTACTACCATCCGCTGAAGCGGATTGAACTCTCCAATGTTTGTATACATAAATATTTACTAGCCAAAAAGAGGGAGTATGAATATAAGAACATCATAAATAATGTGAATCAAGTGGAACTGGAAAAAGAGAAAAAAATGAAAAGCATTTTGTACTCTCTTGAATCGATGGACTACAAGAGAATTTCATGTATAAAGGATAACGTGATGAAATACTTAATTTTTTTTACCTCCTATATTAGGAACGTGCAATATGATCTGAATGCCTGCATTGATGTGTTTAAAGATGTGGACGCCGTTCGGGAGATCGAGGAATACTGCGAATTGTATTGTGCGAGGGGTGGCGCTGCTGGGAAGATACAATGCGAGGATTTCTTCCTTTACAATAATATTGTCTCGTGGCCAATGCTAATAGATCACCGAAATGAGTTTAACTCTGTTGGGGTGGGATCTTCGTACGGTAGTCGAGGTGATCGCCCTGAGAAGGACGACTATGTGAGAAGCACGAGGAGTAAGTATGGCAACTTATTCTCCTCCCTCTTCAACGTTAACGTGTACAAGAATTTGATTCAAAGTGAGCACGGCGAAAGGAGGAGGGGCACGGAGAGCAAAGGGGTCACCAGTGTTTATACGAATATTTTTAACGAAATTGTTTTTTTTAACAAGAAGGAGGTGAGCGGCGGGGAGGAGAACGAAGCAGGGGAGAACGAAACGGGGGAGGATGAGACCGGGCGTAGTGATCCGGGTGGAAATGCTGACTGGGAGGAGAACCCTGGCCAGGTGCCCAGACCGAGTGACGCAGTCAGCCAACGTAAGGGAGCCCTTCGCCGGGGGGAACAAAACGAAACAGGGGAAATGCCTGCACAGACAGGCGAAGAGGAACCTAATGAGAGTGAGGGCAATTCGATGGTGAGGCCGTTTCCACCAGGGGAAGTATCCCCAACGGGGAATGAGCTCGTAGAGGATGGACATGATGTGGACCCAAATGAACGTGGGCAGGTTGTTGATCTATCAGATGGCACTGCCGCAGAGGATTGTATCAAAAGGGAGTTTGTTAAGGTGGAAAATCTCCACGAGGGTGGCATAAATCGCGCAGAAGAGGTAGACAAACGGGGAAGAAACCCTGAGGGGGGAGGCCATGGACATAGTGTCAAACGTAACAGTGTGCACTGCGAGTCTGATCTGAGTTACACGTACGTAAGGGACATGCTAGAAAGGGAGGAGACGCAGAACGAGGACTCAGACAGCGGAAGAAGCGAAGTGAATTATACAAACCGATTTAAAAAAATGGAAATTTTTTTTCAATTTTATTTGAAAAATTTATTTCATGGAAATTTTACGAAAATAGAAGAATTCAACATATCATCATATTTCAACGTGTACAATAATCGATTAATTTTTTGTGAGTGTCTAATGTATTATGTTAAGAAGGGGAAAACTTTTTTAAAAAATATGAACGGCATGGTTATATTTGCAAGAATTATTTTGTCCTTTTTGGATTACTGCGATTTGTACTTTGATTACTGGTGTTCCATCTATATTTTGGTTGCTTCGGAAAATTTTTATTTTGAAGTGGAGGAAAATTATCACTTCGATGTTAAGCAGTTGTTGGAGGAGTGCCATTTTTTTGAGAAGTTTAAAAGGGGAAAGAGAGCCGGTAGGGGGGAGTCCCCAATGGAGGCAATCCAAATGAACGCTGGTCATGTGAAGGGAAGGAGAAAAGACACCCTTGCGATGGACGATTCTTTCATTATGGATGAGGATGGAAATGGAAAGGGGGGTTCATCTAAGCCACATAACGCGCGGGTGTTCTCCAAGGTGAGTATGACAAGTAGCAGAGTGAGGAGGAGGGTCGTGAATATATACGAGAGTAGGGACGATGTGGAGAAGGAAGGCGATGTGGAGAAGGAAGTCGATGTGGAGAAAGAGGGCGATGTGGAGAAGGAGGGCGATGTAGAGAAGGATGACCAGGTGGACGACCACTTCACTGGTGACGCTCCTGCGCTAGGTGATGTAGAGGGTAGCGGACAGGAACAAGTAATAACAAGGAGAAACGGGTTCAGTGCATCCAGGGAAGAACCTCCAAATGATGACTTCCCGGAGGATTTGGAAAGGAAAGACCAAAGGAAGGAAAATTGCGAACAAGAAGTGAACGCAGAAGAAAAGAAGAATGGCGAAACGAATATTCCCATGAGAGGTGACGAACGCGAAATCATAGAGACTAGTGGGAAGACCCCACGGAGGAAGAAAATCCTGTTGCACAAATTTGTGTATGCCCACAACCTTTGGAACAACATAAAGTTTTGGGAAGTGAGTCTCTTAATTATGATTTCGGAAATAATCCAAGAAAGTGTTTTACTGGAAAAACTAAAATACGAAAACAAAGAATCGCTGATTAAAAAGTATTTTTTCTTTTTTAAATATTTTAATTTCTACAATAGTATGATTGACTTTGGATTGTCAATTAACCAAATTGGTTTGCTCCTAAACAAAGTGTTTCACAGTTTTGACTTAAAGAATGACCCCATTTCTCGCAAATATTTTTTCCAAATCATTGACATTGCCACGAATAAAAAGATCACTCTGAATTATATTAAGACGGATGTCGGTAATTTGAACACGGAGTATAAGAAGTACTACTTGCAGTACTACAACAACTATTTGAATGACGACAGTCGCCACTGGGGGAAGAAGCTTTGATATGCGGCCCACCTATTGGGTCGGGAGGGGGCGAATGTACGCGTGGGGCGTATATCGGGGGTAAAGCCTTCGCATTTGTTTTTTTTCTAGTACAAGATTTGACATTCTAAAAAGAGTGACGCTTCTGAGGGGGTACACTTCGAGCTTTTTTTCCCTTGATGGAGTTGCTCCCTCGGAACGCGCCACCCGTCCCCGTTGTTTACTCCTTTGTCTCTGCTTTGCATTCCCCTGTGTGTGGCGCATAAAGTTCACGTTCACCATTGCGCATTTTTTTTTTTCCACAAGGAAAAGAAGCAATTACGAAGTGAGCATGAAATTGCTGGTTCGTCAGAAAAAGGAAACATCTGTTGCACCCAATTACGCGATTGTGTGTGTTACGGATGGGCCGTGGGGAATACGATTGTTTAGTCCCCTTGTAATTGCTACATGGGATTATGTCATTTATTTATTTTTTAAGCTCCTCCCTCTTCCTGCTGCGAACTTCTGTGTGCACACATATGGAAGAAAGGTTACGGAAGTTTTGACGAGTTTTGTGGAGCATGCACTGCTTCTATTTTAGACTTTCCGAAATGGGTGCTTAAAATTGGTCAGGTGAAAAAAGAAAAAAATTACCTACAATGTAGCTCTGTTGTGTGCTTTTTTTTTTTTTCCTTTGGCTACATTTCTGCCCTTTCACGTGGAAATACATGTGATGAGATGTATTTCAAAAATGGAGAATACCTCGACACCGTACAACCATTTGACGTGGTGACCTTTCATAGGGTAAGCATTTTTTTTTTGCGAAATGCAAACCGAGTGACCTGGTTTAAATTTTGTTCACCATCAGTGAGGAAGGATCAGCGGGGGGGTCAAACATCATATATTTTGAAAGGGGTAAAAAGTTGTAGAAGCACAATGTATCCTAAAAAGGGGCGAATTGGTCTCCACCCTGCACTACACAAGACCCTTATAGTAACAACATTGTGGAGGGTACAAGTTTGATTACGTGTTTTCCATATCAGTTTATATCCCCTGGTGTACATTTTTTATTTTGCTGAACAAACTATGCCATTCGTGAAACGTTTTACACGTATGCGAGTAATTTACGTGTTTTTATTTCGATGATAAGCATAATGTAAGTCCACAAAAGGGCACATTCTGACAAAATTAATTTATATATGGTTTTTTTTGTACAGTTCTGGGGAACCATTAATAGAGCAAAATTGTTATGTTTTTTTTTTCAAATTTTGGCAGCATTTTTATCCGCACAAAATGTATACAGGGGGAACCTGTAAAAAGAGCATGCGAATTTTTTCCTATTTATTCATTTTTTTAAATGAAGTAAAATGTTCCTCCTCCTTTTCTTGCCAAGAAGTATACATACATATCAAAGAAAAAAGGGGAAATTTTGTACGATGGCTGCATCATTGTAATGACAATGTAACATACACATATACTCATCTATGCAACAGAAAAAATTTTCATTTTTCGCGAATGTCTTGAAGGTAAATGGGGGGTTGGCTTAGCCAACCGGCAGCAATGAGAAGCATATGTTGCTGTGTTTGCACTTGATGGTATGGCATCCCTTCTTTATATGCATGCTTTACGATGAAGAGTAAAAAGAGTGTTATATGAATCAGTTCGTGCGGGCATACAAACGTTATTACTACATATAAAGTACGTGCCATTTCCTCGGAATCATTGTCGTTACTTACGTTTATTCCCATTGGGCATGTTGCCGCGGCGTTGCATGTATGTTCGTATAATAGGTACATAAAGTATATTACTATATATATTATTATGCAGGAATTTTTCGTGCGCTTTCTTTGAATGGCCAACCAAGTCATCCATTTTTAACGCACCTCGCGTTGCTTCGTTCGGCCAGAGAGGCGTGAAAGTCTGCATTAACTCTAACGTTATCATATATATTATATGCGTACAATGCAATACCCGTTTGTAATTTTGACCGAGCTGCGCGCAAGTACTGAAGTTTTTACAAAAATGCTGAATTGACTATTGTTGCAAAAACCCATTTCAGCCATTTGGAAATGATTAAAGCGAAGTTGTAACTTTTGAATTTGTTACATTTATTTACGAAAAATATGCGTTCATGTAGCTATAGTTTTTTTTTTCTATTTTTTCCTTTTCCTTTCCTTTTATTTTATTTTTTTTTGTTTCCGAGCGTAAAACCTTGGCATTTTTTCTTTTCTTCATAGGTGAAAGGAAAAAAAAAAATGGTTATTTAAAGAGTTACATACCTTTGTTAAGCTAAAAAAAAATTAAAGGAAATTTTGTTTGTACCATTTTACGTGTATATATTTACTTATTTATTCGTATACTATTGTGGAAAAAGCGGAAATTTCTTCAGCCTCTCTTTTGGGAGAAAAATTAAATAAAACCAAAATTTGCAAATTAATCCAAAATTAAAAAAGAATATTAAAAAATAAATAAAAAAAAAAAAATTAATTTCCAAAATCAGTTTTATGTATTCATATGTACACTATACATTTACGTATATACGCATATGCAATGAATGCTTTTGGCCGATATGGATACATTGCTTCCTGTTAAGGAAAACTAAGTGGGGACGCATGCGTGTTATTATTATATGGTATGCCCCTTTTGTGTATGCACAGTAGGGGAACACACTTTTTCCATGGTCACGTTGATGCGCTCCTGTTTTTTTCTTTTTGCATTTTCCAGGATTAGCCAATTGTACCTCTCTTGATTTAATGCGTGTTTTTGTCCTAGCAAATTTGCAAAGTTGAAATTGTGTCCTTTTTCCTTTGCCCTTTCCCCTGGCATTTTTTCTGCTCGTTCCTTTTGAATTTTTTGCTGCCTTTTTTGTTTTACATTTTTGGCTTGCAATTTTTCCGCGCCGACTTGCCCCCTTTTCCAACTTTCCAGTTCGTCCAACCAGCGCCTCTACCTTCAGATTTAGTTCCATTTCTCCTTTGAGAAATTCCCACGTATGAATCATCACACAGAGAGAAGGCCACAGAGAAGAGGAAGAAGCTAAACATCTGTGCGCCTTTTGTTTGCAACATTCTATAGTGCGTCCGTGTCTCATATATGTACTGGTATATATGAGTACGTACATTTGTGCGCACATTCATGCGAGTGAGAAAATGTTTTTTTAAAGGTGCATGGGTGTGGCGATAAAGCAAATAAGCGCGTGAGTAGCTGATCCTATAGCAGATGATCATGTGAGTGAATAAGCTGGCGGACAGGTGAACAGTGTAGCCAAGGAGAAGGAACAAGAATAAAACAAGAAAAGGCAAATTTGACACAGTAAAATAGGGTTTCCCCCCTTTTTTTTTATGAATCGAAACGGAGACAAAGTGGCGGAGGCTGCCAAATTTGATCAACTGTAGCCCTATGATGATTTATTCCTTTTGAATAAATAGCACTGTTCGCGTATCTCAATATACGTGCATGTGTGTTTATGCTCTACACCCCCTAGTAGGAAGTGTAGTGCGGCCTCCAACCATGTTAACGTGAGGACAGAAAAGACAAACCTTGACTGGTCAATTTGTTAATGAACAGAAGAGTAGCTCATTAAGAATGTTTACACATAGTTTGTGGACACAATTTGTGTTCGTAAATGTGCCAATATATCGCGTCCATAAATTGGGCTCCTTAAATTTTTTTTTTTCTTTTTTTTTTTTTTTTGTACAAAACACCGCGTTTGGTGTGCGCTAGAGATAAGCAAACACGAACGCTTGCGTGGCCTTTTTTTGTGGCTCAAGGGTTAGCCGAAAGGTAAAAAGAAAGTAGCGTTGTGGATGGCATGTAACTGTACGCACCTGGAGCGTGAAGCATGCCTTACGTGCCGACCTGTGCCAGGTCAACACACACGCGTTATATAGAGGAGAGACAGACGCATTACCCATTTGGGTGGAACCATAACCTGACAAGCTTGTGGACTAGACGTTCCCAAGATGTTCCGAAATGTATGTGACTATTTCAAAAATTCCAATGAAAAAAGTGAAAACTGCGAAGAGGGAGCAGATGCTGGGGGTAATAACAAAAGTGACGTTAATGCCAATGGGGTGAATGACGAGAATGGAGAAAGGGGCACTCTTTGCGATGAGGCAAATCAGGAGTACTATCTAAATGAGGCGTCTTATAAAAATATAGGTGATATTTGCAATGAGGAAGGCAACGCTGAGAATGATTTCAGAAAGAAATATGACAGTTACAACCATGCGGATAACGTTAGGAAGGGGTGTAGTACGAGTGACGAGGGGAGTCGTAAAAAGAAAGACCTGGTTACAAATGGGGACACCTGCAACAACAGCGAACCATTTGTGAATAATTGCGAGATCAGCGCGAGTTGCGCGATGAGAAACGTGGCGGGGGAGTCGAACGTGGACGGCAAGAGTGGGAGCAACGCGGGAAGTAACGATGAGAAGGACTCCAGCGGTGAATCTGAAAACGGGCGCGACGCGGTAGATCCCGAAGGCAGAAGCAACAGCAGGAGGGATAAGCACAAATTGGACCTAAGCGATGAAGCCCTCAAGAGGAGGAAATTCGCCGAAGAGGGGGAGGAAGCAGAGGATGCAGCGATGGTAGCAGCGGAAGGGGAGGAAAATGAAACTAACGGTAATGGGGAGGAAGCAATTGAGAATGCCCACGTGGAGGATGACGAGAAGTCAAGTGAAGGGGAAGAATCGGGTGTTGATAAGGAAAAGCCGATGAAGGAGAACCTCGAGGAGAGTGCCGACCCCATGAGCGAAGAGAAGGTGAATTATTTGCAAGAAAAATTGGAACAGCTACTGTCCCAGACGAAGCGGTATACAGAAAAGCTCTCAGGTCAGCGACTAAAAATGAATGTGCATTCAAAGGATAACAAAACCAGACGTTGTGCAATGACCGAGAAGGAGGAAGATTATATGTTATTGCAGGATGCCAACGAGGAGGACGAGACGTTTATTATGAAGCAGCCAGCTAATATCAACGGGTGCATGAAGCCGTATCAAATAGAAGGGCTAAATTGGCTGTATCAATTGTATAGACAC